GCAAAACGGAGAAGAGCCAGAAATAAAGAGAGGATGTGTGAAGTAAAACTGGATCTGAAAGTGAAAGGAAAAAGGTGGAATAAAGGAGAAAAAGAAATGTGGGAGAGTAGAGGAGACAAGTGAGCAGAGTGTAGAAGCTGCATTCTTTAAGCAGATCAGATTTGGGGAAATTGGGCTGTCACTACAGGACTGTGATGATTTACACCTATCCATCACTGGGAGAGGGAGAGAAGCTGAACCTGAGTATGTACAATAATGCACAGCATCTGTAGAAACGGAGAGAATCCATCCTAAACAGGCTCAGTTCACTGCTTACTTTTCAGTTCAACGTTCAGTATTCTAAAAAAAAATACATTTGACATTCTGTTAATATGACTAATGCATTCAAAACATCTGTCACTGGTGGAGACTCAGCCTCAGTACCTTTACTACATGACTATAGTCATAGATTATGCTATACAATCCTAAATTTCCTTCTGTATGAACTAACGAATAATTTGAAAGTGAAGATTTGACCATTACAGGATTTGCACCGAGTTGATCTGTACTGTCATGATGTTGACAGTACAGATGCTGATGTTCGTCCCGTTTGCCTATCGCCTGATCTTTCTGCTCGTTCCCTCTGTCCTCCTGCCTCCCCCTCTCCCTCCCTCACTGCTGGCTGATGCACCTTACAGCCTCGCCCCTGGACCATCTGTTAGGGAATCTAATTCACATCCACTCATAATCAGGTTTGCTGGAGAGCCCACTGTCTCTGTCTCTCACTGTCTCTCTCTGTTTGTCTCTGTCTCTTTGTGCCTGGCCTGCTTCTGCTGTGGGTTTCACATTCTGCCTTCAACTGTCTGATCACTGATCATTCTTTATCCCATTCTTATACTGTAGCAACAATGTCAGTGCATCTCAATTCAGTGTCTGGGTGTTCAGACATTTCATCAGCATCTTCCTTTTTCTCCTCCAGGTTAGGTGTTAGGGTTACTCTCTCTCCTAAAAATAAATAAATTAAAATTAAAAAGTGCATAAACTAATACAGCCAATTTATCTGATCTTGTTGTTGTATGAATTTTTAGGTTCTGAATGATTTAGACAATCCACTTTGGGTTCGCAGCACTATAAATTTTGCTTGCCCCCCAAAAAAAGCATCACCTTTAAAACTAACAGTAAATTACAAGAATTTAAATAATGCTTCTGCATTTTAATGGTAAAAATGATTAATGAGCATCAAAATGACCTTGCATGAGAAAAATGTGGCACTGCCTTGACACAGAACCCTAACTGTGTGTGTTTACATGTGTGTTTGTCCATGACTGAGAATAAGGCGAGCTCAGGTGAAGGGGGAGGAAGTTAATGAGAGGTGAGTGCCTGAAACCGGTGCTCTCTCGCTCTCTTTCTCACTTGCTCTCTCTCTGCTCCCGCAGTAATCCTCTTCTATAAATCTGCAATCCAATCAGCGTTGTCCACACTTACACACACACACACACACACACACACAGAGCTGTTGGGAGGCCCATCTGTGTGTTAAGGCAGTCTGCTTTATCATTATGATTACATTGGGCTCAGTTTACAGCAAAGTGTGTGCGCACTATGTGTGTGTATTCAAGCGCACCCTGGCTGCCTGACATTAATCACATTCCCATGGTTTGATGGCCTAAATAAAAGGAGGAATAATATTGCTGTTGTACAATGAAAACTGTGGATCTCCAAAAAACAAATTAGGAATTCAGAAAAGTTTTCATTTGAGAAAAAGCTCTAGGACACAAAGCAAATGACTTTCTTCTTGTTTTTATATTAAAAATATCACAGTTTGTGATTTTTTTTTTTTTGTAAGAGCTTCATGACACAGTATGAAAAGGGGGAGTTATCCAGAAATCAAGAGTCATTTACATGCATTTTGAAATATTTCATGTTTTGGCTACACACACATCAGCAATGTAACAATTGAAATTCAAGTTTGTAGTAAATTTGTAGTTTTCCCCCAAAGGTTTCAAGTGCTTGTGTGTGTGTGTGTGTGTGTGTGTGTGTGTGCTGGTTGGTTGACCAAATCCTATCAGAACAACTGGAGGTCAAATAGGGAGTGTGCATGTGATCTTATGCTGCTTGTGTTTGATAAAATGTGCTCTTCTCCGTTGTGTGTAGGTGAAACAAAGGCATGCGAGTGATTATGTGAGAGGATGAGTTGAAGTTGACTGGCACCGGCCTTCATTTTTACTATTTAGTTTCTAATTATTTGGTTTGTTTTTCAGGCAATTTCTTTATTTTTTATTTCCAAGACCTTTCCTGTCTATTGACGGCGCTGTGATGTCACAGTAGGAAACACACTGGGTACTAGTATTGTCTCTGCTCACTCACTGCCACACTGCCATGACTTACTGGGACTTTCAAATAGAACAGAGCCCTGTCAGCGATACTGTATTAGTAACACTTGTCTTACTGTGACAAGTCAAAACTGTGGAAAAGGTCTACTTTGGGCATATTCTTTACACTAAGTCCCCAATGAGGCCTTTGAGTATTTCAGTAGAAGTTGTGAGATGACAATGTGAACCTCAACAGCTAATGATATTTTTATCTGCCCACTGGAAAGTAGTACTGTGCCACACCAGAGGCTTGGCACAGTTTTGATGGTTGACTTCCTGGTCAAAACTTGATCCAATGCAGAGGAAATAATGTTCCCCAAGTCAGAGGGTAGTGTGGGCATCCATCTGTGTGACTTCAAGTCATGGCATAACTCCCCAGCCCCTGGCAAACTATTACACCTCTCACCACCAGACTTCACTGTGTACCGGCACACACACTCTCTCTCATTGTGCTAGTAACACTCCTCTAGGTGATTGGCTGAGAGTCTGCAGGAGAATAACTTGCCAGACCTCTAATTGGCTTGACCCAGACTAACCCTGAAATGCGACTGGACTAAGACTTCCCAGTCTACAGTGCACATACACACAGACACACACACACACACACACTTACTTTGTACACTCATTGACATAACGAATTCCCTAGCCCCTAACCCTGACCATAACACTTCACCTAACACCTAACCTAAACCTGATTCTAACCTGAACCCTAAAATCAGGTTTTGACAAGGGCTGCATGATTAATTGTTTTGTGAGCATGATTAAGATCCCTGTGGAATATCAGTCTCATGTGACAATGATTCTGCCATGTTTGCATTATCAGGGAAACGCCTTGCATCAAACCAAGCACTCCATTTTCCTCGCTAAGCTGCATTAACCAAAAACTAGCCACAGCTGCTATTCGATGCTTGGTGTCCAGGGCAGGCAGCACAACATTGGAAAAATAGTTGCAGGAGGCCACAGGAAATCCAACATGTTGGATTTCCTGTGGCCTCCTGCAACTATTTTTCCAATGTTGTGCTGCCTGCCCTGGACACCAAGCATCGAATAGCAGCTGTGGCTAGTTTTTGGTTAATGCAGCTTAGCGAGGAACAGGGAGTGCTTGTTGTAATGCAAGGGATCTCACTGCTACTGTGAACACGGCAGAACCGTCATGTGAGACTCAGATCATACAGGAACCTAAATCACGCTCACAATACGATTTACTGTGCAGCCCTAAGGTGTTTCTGGAAGTGAGGACCAGCCAAAAATGTCCAAAAATGTCCTCAACCTGAAGCAAAAAATACTTTTTTGGTCCTCACTATATAGTAAGTACAAGAACACACACACGCACACTTAAAATTAAAGTCCTCTGCAAATGGCTAACAATGCACTAATCAAAAGTGTTCTAACAGGCTGTGCAATAATACAACAACCATAACAACATAATAAATGATAGTAACATTCATTAAGATAATCATATCAGCCAACAAGATCATGCAGCAAAATCTTGTTTGTCATCTACAGTAATGTCACTTCAGGTCGTTGCAGTGGTCTTGGTCACAACCAGCTCAAGTGAGCGGAGAATACATACACAGAGCAGTAAGCACATCTGTCAAATACTAGTGTTCATTTTCCATATAATGGTACAAAAAAATGTGCATTATGCTAATTATATACAAAACCTAAACTTAGAAGGACATTTTGTTTTCAATCTGGGCAGAGAAACCTAAAATGGTTAAAACAAAGAAAAAGAAAATGAAAAGAAATGAAAAGGAGAAACAAGACGAGAGAAAACGTGTCTTTATGTATTTATGGTTTGTGTTTTACGATAGCAGCCCTCAGGATTACCTGCCTCCTGCTACACAAACTTTGATCTGATTCTACTGGAGCTTTAAAGTGAGATTTCACTTTGGTTGAAGCTTTTCATGCTTTAAGTTTTATTGCAAATGCATGAGACATGTTACCTAATGGTAAAAGTGACTGTCCTTCCACCACATGATAGGATCTGAAGGTTTAGTGCTGCAATGCATTTGCACTACTGAAGTGTCCTTGAGCTAGAAGCTGAATGCAGCTTCCCTCTGATAACATATACACTATAAAAATAGGGACACCGCTCACATACACACGTGTTTTAGCTGCTTTACAAGAGAAAAGTGTTTCTCAAACCAAACCAACAGAGACTGGGACTCCATGGACAACTCCCTCTCCAGTTTAGGGTGTGAATAATGGGGAATGTCAGCAGTCACTCTAGAAGCCCGTAGCCGGTGACTTTTAAAATATAACATACAAACTGCTGAACTTCTTCATTCATTGGTGACACAAAAGCAGCCAGACATGCACTGTGTGCTAAAAATACTTCAACCAGTCTGAAAATATAAGGAAAAGGAGAAATATTATGATCCATATGCAGAAAATAATAAATTGAAGTTAAGAAATGCAAAGGCACACAAATTTGAACCAATTGTGGAGACAAACTATCGTTCTCAGCAGACACACACATACTGACCATGAAAAACACTGGCTCATAACCTGTTTGTGGTGTCTTTCTTTTTCATCTGAGGTTTAAAAAAGTGAAAGTGTAAAGCCCAACTTCAAATGAATCACGGTCCTTTTACTATGTTGGCTTTCTGTTTCTGCGTCTCTGTTCCTCTGGTCAGTTTGTCTTACCTGGGGTTGTAGAGGGCATGTGCGTCTCTCATGTGGTTGGCCTCCAGTGAATCGTAGCTCTGGTGCATCCTCCAGGCGCCAGTGCCGCATTTACTATAAGCTGACTTGGAGTTATCTTCACTGCTGCTGTTCACCAATGGCCCCTTCGATAAGTTCATTCTGTAGACGGGTGCAAAGCGAGAGAAGCAGGGATGGATGTGAAAATGGTGCCAGTGCAACAGAGAAACAGGTCTCAGGTGAGACACAGCTTTTCTTATTCTACATGGGGGGTTTTATTCACTATCAAACTACTTTCCTATCAAGTAAAGCCTGTAAAAAAAAACAACAACTAAATCAAGTTCTTAAAATGTAAATGTAACACAAAATACATGGAAATAAATTCGTGTAAAGAAAACAAGAAGTAGAAAAATGTAACAACTATATTTCCTGTTTCAGTGAAAACAAGAAATAAAGAAATGCTGAACAACAGAGTAAACATGCATCTCTAAAATATTCAGTAAAAATTCAATTCAATAAATTCTGATTAAAAAAAAAAGTACAATCGAGGAGGACACTGAAAAAAAATACACAAACAAATAAAGACCAATACAAAAAGTCCATTTTAAAATCAATACATTAAAATAAATTAGAAAAAAAGTTATATATGTAATCAATGGACACACACACTCACACAGTACAGTGAAACAGTTACACAAGTGCACAGAGACAGGTAGGTATGATATGGTCTTCTTTGAAGACACAAAGAAAAACAGACTGGCACAAATGCCGACATGCTGAGCACTGCCAGCAGACAGACAGACAGACAGACAGCTGTCAGTCAGACAGACACACACACACACACACACAAAGGACGGGTTGAGACTTTAAACCCAGTACATGAGACTTCTGCCCTGGAACCTGTCTGTGCACACATGCATCGGTGAATGCGTCAGGCTGCTAACTGAAGCACACTGCGGCTGTGTTCAGCGTCTGAGGAATTTTACCAGTTTTAGCCTCGGAAAGGTTTTCAGACTGAGGAAATATAAAAGTTAAAGCACTGGAGGAGGGACTACTATCAATCAAATCTGGCGCTGTCGTCAGGGGAAGGGCTGTTGCCGGGGGTGATAAGGTCACCCCAGCCAACAGAATCAAAATTATTCATGGCAAAAAATAAATGAATTAAATAACAGGGACTGAGAGAAAAAGAGGACAGTACTTATAGCTGATGTCAAAAAGGAGGAGAGAAGGTAGGGTTTGGTATTAACATTGGCTTGGTGGCCTACATTTAAACCAAACTACCATGGGGAATGGAGCGGGGCTGGAGGGAAGAAAGCACTTTTTTTTTTTGCAGATGGACAAAACAGAGAAAATACAGAGACCAATTCAGAGTGGAGAACAGATGTCAGAACACAACTGGATATTAAATAATGTAAATGCATGAGATGCCTGCTGGCAACGCTTGAGGCCCCTAATGGCCAAGAAGTTAAAATAATGATACTTGCTTTTATTGAAATGGGTTTAAAACAGGGACAATTATTTATTATTCACACTTTTTTTGAAACTTTGCCAAACAAGTCTACACATTGGAATGTAATTCTTCTACTTTGGTTCCTGATACTAACCTGTCAAACCGAACCATGTGCTAAACACCTAGAACATAAAATAATCTTTCCAGTAGTTGTTTTTATTTTCCCGTCATTATCACATTGCTGTGTGTTTCCCTGTGGCAATGCATCAGTACACAGAGCGGGGTGTTGATAGACATGAGTTTACCACACAAACAACCACTACACAGATTTGTGTGTGTGTGTCAAGTTGTCCCACTGTGAGTTCCTGTTTAAGTGAGGGCCACATAGACAGACAGGTAGACAGGCCAATCACTTGTCTGACAGCCGTCCCTCCACCCATCAACAAAACTGGGCTGGCTCAGTCAGAGGTGGAGGGCCTGGGTGTGTAATGTGTAGGTTTTAGTTCCACTCTGGTGAATAGGGGGAATCGATATCTTGCTGCTGCTGCTTCAGACACTTATTGGCTTTGGTTGCGGTGTCACAATGCTATATGGACAGGTAAAACTTAATACAGCTTTTTATTGGGGTATGTCCTGGTGTCACATTGGACTCAGGCACATCCAGTACCATGTGCATGTGATGTTGCTCTTAAATGACCTGCATATCCTTCCACAGGCCAACATAACAGTTATTAAAAAAGAAATTACAACAGAGATTATTAAAGCGGAACAACGAATGAATAACTATGAGATGCAGTTTTCAGAAAGAAAACCTGAGTATAAATCATTTGATGCTTTACCAAGTCTGAGAGAAATCACTATTACAATATTTTAAATAAACAGCAAAGGCTTTTGGAAATCACCTCCACCTGAGTTAACCCAGGAACTAAAAATGTAAGAGACTACAAGGAGAGATCCCAGTTTAGCACATTTTACCCTATGGCAAAGTAATCCGGTATTTTTTTTTATCTTTATTCATTCGAGAAGAATAAATTTAGACTAAAAGGTATTTCAATGTCAGCTGACAATCATGTAAAGCAGGTGTTAGCAGTGCTTTGTTATTCTATTCATAACATTCTTCCATGTGAAAAAGTACAATAAACACTATATAAAATTCAATAGAGTCATATTATTTTAAATAACCCCCCATTTTAACTAGTCAACACCATGAATGCACCAACACACAAATAGAATGAATCATGTCATTAATAATTCTATACATGTACAAAGTGAAAGGAAACAATAATGATGAGTATGTGATTCTAGATTTCATGCTCCTGACAGTGCACGTAAGTGGCACCAGTGCGCATGCATGTACACACATGAACAACAGCATTGTGGATGCATGGCAGTGTGTGTGTGTGTGTGTAAAAGTAGGGAGATTGTGGGTGTCTTTCTGATGCTCAGTGACTCGCTCATGTGTTGCTGGCCCATCTGTGAACAGAATGACCATGACACAGAATGTGTGTGTGTGTATATGTGTGAGTGAGAGAGAGAGAGAGACATGGTGATGCAGTGATTGATGAGACAATTGCCATTCTTGTTAATGCAAAACGCACCTATCCCTGAAGGGAGCAAATGCCACAACACACACACATATACACACACAGGGTCGCAATTGCCCTGCCTAATTACCCCTCTCGTCAGGGCAGGATGAAGTCTTCCAGTCACATATGCAATTAATATCCATAAATATGGTTAAACGTGGTTTCATAAGCACAGTTGCATATGTGGCATATCCACGTTTTAGCACTGATAGATGCCGGCATAGCAAACTGAGCAGACAAAATCATTTGCAGGATAATTGCAAAAAGGAACAAGGAGATCCAGCCCCTTGCTAAAGTAGAGAATCAGTACATTTTCTGCTACGACACTATACAACACCAGAGCAAAATCTCTAATCCCTTTATTCTTCTCTCTTATTGGCAGTAAAATTGAGGCTCTTTTCATCACTAGGCTCCTTGAGAAAATGTGGGATACGATGGCTGACTTGCTCTGTTTACAAATGCTGCACAGCATATACATCGTTTGCTATTACAGAGGTCATATAATTGCTTAAATTGTAAATGTAATGTCTGAAATTTGTAAAACATCAAGTCCCATAAAACAAATCTGACGCAGACACGTTAACGTGATCCTAACATAAAGGAAGCAAATACATATTTACATACAAATGCATGTGACTATGTTTCTCAGTGCATGTCTGCATGGGCATGAGGGCAGGTGGGGTTCGACGCAGCCCGCCCTGTGTGTGTCTGAGTAGATGTGGATGTGCCTGCGCGTTAGCGACGGGAGCTGTTAGCGGGGCAGGCGGCAGATGGGCTGTCGGCCTTAATAGGGACTGAGCGGGTGCAGCAAGGTGACAGCTCCGTGAGGGAGGGGCACTTTGGAAGAGAGAGGAGGAGTGCACGTGTGTGGGGGTGAATGGTGAAGGAAGATGGGGATAAGAAGCAATGAATTATCTGCAGAGGTGAAGAAAAGTACAGATCAGCTGCACAGAGAACAACTCCTGAGGGCAAGAAGAGTTTGTAATGTTTAATTTAGGAAATATATATATACTGTAAATCCTTATATGCTGTGTACATATGTTTGACAAACGGAAAAGCGTTCATTCTTTCTTTCTGTGTAAAGTGTTTAAAGTATCAAATAATTGTCCAAATGATACAGCATTATTTCTACAACTATGCATAAAATATTATTTGTGAATAGAGAAGAGCTGCAGTCCTCTGCATACCTGAGCAGGTTTGTGATAAAAGCTGTGGGCATTGTCACACTTTGAAAGTTATAAAGTACTTGTCCTCTTTGACTTAGTCTTCAATTCTGGCTCTTCTGCTTGAATCCAGACCAGATTTGTGAAAATCTAAAGCTTCTGTGGAACATTAACAAACCTCAAAATTACGAAAATTGAACGCGTTGCTTGTTGTTGTCATCTGACTGCACATCTGCACACAGAGAAACAAACGCCCTTGCATTTTTCTTTCATGGTCACACATGGATACACAGTGTTGCGTATGTCCACGAGTGTGTGTTAACATGAGACTGACATGTTGACACATGAGCACAGCTGTATGTCAAAGCTGAATTGTTGGGGCTGTCGAAGGGGCAAAGAAGCAGAAACTCTGAGTTCATTTGTTCTGTCAAAATAAAAGCCTTTAAACGAGCTGCTTTGCTTTTTCCTCAACCGATGTGTCAGTGGCATTTCCCTTTCCACACACACCACACAACTATTTAACAAACATTTGTGGAAATGTGAACAAAACAAACAGAAGAAACCACCTATGACATAGTCTGAAATAGTTTTTCAGTTGGAATTTTCAATAAAATATGTATTGCATTTTAAAGTTTACATGCAATTTTGAATACTTCCCATCTTGCTGAACAATAAACAGCCTTGAAGCAAATAATATTCTTATATTAATATTTTTATTTTTAGTTTTTTCTTTTCCTTTATCACAATAATCCTATGGGTTTTACTTGTCTCTGTATATGTGCTGTAACTATAAATGCCACAAAAGAGATGAGCTTTTGTTAATCATCAGTATGAATGTCCAATACATTTGTTGGGTGCATTTGATAAATTAGCTAAATTACACTGTGCCAAATGCACAGACTAGAGACAGAATGAGAAAAAGAGAAAATCAGACAAAAAAAAACAACTAAAGAGTGAGGTGGG